AACGTGCTTGGTCCACGGTCAAGCTGAGGCGTGGTACGGTTGTCCAATGGCGTGGTTTGTGCGGCCACACTGCGGCTCTCCAAGTTTTTCTCTTGCATGCTGGTTGGAATCTGATTCATGCTACCCGTTGGCGACGGCAAGGTGCAGCTGGACCTGAGGACTACACGTTTTTGCCTTTCTGTGATGAAGGTTTCGGCCTCTTGTTCAGGAGGACTTCGAGGAGCTAATCCTGGACTTAGTCGCCGACGTCTGCTCCATGGCATGGAAGTTGGCAGCCAAACATCCTGACGGTGACCAGCTTGAGGGTGGTGCTGATGTGCAGGCTGTGCAGAGAGAGAGAAAGAGAGAGAGAGAGAGCTGGATAGCTACGTGAAGCAGGGCTCCATGGACATATGGGGGGCCATTCTCGCTGTTGTCTCAGGCGGGCAGTGGGCGCAGCAGAGGCAAGCGGACGGGGGCTACGAGGTGGGCCTCGCCTGCTCTCGCTGTGGCGTCCGACCTGAGACGCTGCGGCACCGTATCGGGGAGTGTGTACAACATGTTGGCCATCCGGATTACGCTTCCACTGGCGCGCTCGTTCCTCAAGCTCTTACCTCTGCCGATGCTGAGCCCTCCCATCTGGCTCCGTGGTTTGCCTCCCTGCTGCCTAACTGTGCCTAAGTTTGCCGAGGGGCCTGGTTTTCCTGAGCCTGTTTTCCTCGGCCAGGGTCGCGTCCAGGAGCTTTTGGCGGCCCCGGGAGGGCCTCCCCATTGCATTTCTTGGGTCGGCTCGGGGTGTGGGTGCAACTCTGATGATCGGCGCCGTAGATGCGGGGCTGCAGCGGTGGCCATGCGTGGTGCCTTGGGCGGGGATCCTCGCGGGGCCTTTTGGGCCCCTCTCTGCGGCGTGGCCGCCTGCCTCCCTGGGCGGCGTCAGACTGCGCCTCGTGCTGAGCGCTCTCGCATCGAGATCGTTTATGTTTCTGCTCGCGAGCCCGTCGTGGGCGGGCGGGGGGCTGGGCGAGCTCGCGAACCTGTCGGCGGGGGCGCTGATTTGTGGGTCCGTGTCCGCCTCGCCCGTGCAACTCGTGGTCCTGGCGCCGTCTCTGTCGTGTGGGCTGCCTCCCATCTCGAGGCTGAGCCTGGGCGTAGTACCCCCCTTCAAGACTTCCTCTCGCGCTGTTACGCTTGTGCCGACGTCTGGGCGGGAAGGGAAGCGAGGAGGGGGTGGGATCTAGCTGCGTGCCGTCCAGTGCCGCTCACCGATCGGTGGGGTGTCGCGGCTCTGATGGCGAGGCGGCGTGCGCGGCGTGCTTCCATCGGTGCCATGTGTGTTGCCCCTGAGTTTGGGCCTCGCCCTCTGGCGTGCAGGAGGAAGCCGCTCACGGGCCTACAGCGTGCCTTGAAGTGGTGAACTCATTGCTAGCAGCAGTGTGGCAATCGTCGGTTGTGCAGCGGTCGATTGGTGCCTAGATCCAGGCTGATCGCGCGTGTTGCCGCCCCCTGTCCCGCGCCCCTCTGCCTGCTCCTGACCCTGGCCCCGTGGCGCCCATCCCCCTGGCCCCTGGGGCCTCGGAGCGGCTCCGCGGTGAAGGGAACGTCTCTGTAAGTGGCGCTGTGAGGTTGGCAGTGTGACTCTGGATCCTAGCCGCGCTCTGCGTGAGTGGCCAAAGTATCGCCTCGAGTTTTGTGCTGTTTGTGGCTTCGCGGCCGCTGTCGACGGCGTCGACGGCGGGCATCTCTGCGAGAGTTGTTCGCGGCGCTCGCGTCAGGGCTTAGAGAATTTGCCCCGCGCCCGACGGGGCCTCTTCCCCTCGTGCAGAGGCCCTCCTGCTGCGATTGCGGGGGCTGGGGTGATGGCCGACAGCTCGGATGCGCGGTTGAGGGGGGTTCCCAGTGCCGATGTGCCCGCGCCCGTGGACCTTGATGAATATCTAAGGTTCGCGGAAGTCCCCGCCCCGAGCGCCCACCCCCCTCGCCCCCGCCGGTGGGTGCCGAAGGCGGGGGGGGGTGGAGAAGTTGAGGCGGGGGGCTTGGGCGGGAGGGGCGGCGCGGCCACTGCCGTGCGGGGGGGGGGGGCGGGCGCGTGCTGCCTGCGGCGCCTGGGGCTGCTCCCCGCCGTCGCCATCGGCGGCAGTGGCGGGCGCGCCGTCCCCGCCTGCCTCTCCTTTCTTCTCGTCCTCCTCCTCCTCCTCCTCCTCCTCCTCCTCCTCCTCCTCATCTTCCTCCTCCTCCTCCTCTGATTAGGGCGCTGCGCGTGTGCGCGTTGACTCCGCAACTCCGCAATTCGGTGACTCCTGGGAGCTTCCCTGGAGCTTCTTCGGGGCTGCTTGGGGGCCTTTGACAATTTGGGGGCCTTCGGGGGGCACTCCTTGCCCGTCTGACACCGTCGGGCGCCGTCTTGGGGGCCTCTTTGGGCTGACTTGGGGCCTTCTCGGGGTGTTCAAGGGTCGTCTTGGGGGCCATCTTGGGTAACTTCGAAGCCTCTTGGGCCGTCTTGGGGCTCTCTTGGAGCCGTCTGGTGGGCTTCTTGAGCCGTTCTGGGGCCATCTTGGGCGCCCCCTGGGAGATCTCGGGGCGATCTTGGCGCGTTCTCGGGCCGTCTCGGGCCGCCGGAAGGCCGGGGCGGAGCAAATGCAGCAATTCTTCAAACCTTAGGGAATCATGGTCTGTGCTTGCACGTAGGGGATGCCCTCAGCTCGTTTATATGTGTCGTCGCCACTTGGCTCCGCACCGTTGTTTGAGTCTCTCGGTTCCGAAGGGGGCGGATGGGCGCGGCAGTCCTCCGGCGGCTCCGCGGCGGTGCCCGCGCGGGCGGTGCTGGCCCTCGGGGCGGCGACGTGGTGGCGGCGAGGTCAGACCTGCTCCGACCTCAGCTGCCCTGCCTGCCTAGCCCGCCCCGAGGCCGCGCCCTGCCCCGAGACCGCGGCGCGCCCGGCGTGCGAGTGCCCCTCCGTCGAGGTGGCGGCTCGTGCGGCAGAGCGCCCGGTGGGCGGGCGGGCGGCTGACAGGCTGCTCGGCGCGGCCCTCGGCGGCCTGGTGCACGGGCTGGTGGCGAGGGTGGTGAGCGGGCGCCGCGACGTCGGTCACTTCGTGGCTCCGCGGCGCCGCGGGGCAGGAGTGGCGGACTAAGGCGTTGCCTGGGGAGCGCGCGGTCTGCCGCTACTCGGGCGACGAGGTGGGCCGCGAGCGCGCGCTGCAGCGCCCCGTCGCTGGCGGGGCGCGGGTGGTGCTGACTCCCGATGGGGGCATCTATTCAGAGGACTTCAGCGGCGCTGACCCCGAGATTGGTCCATCGAAGGCCTTCCCGCTGGCCGTCAGGGCCCGCGAGATGCGGTCGCTGTATCGGTTCAATGAGGCGCGTGGACCAGATGAGCTGGCGGAAGCCCTCCAGGTGGGTCGGCGGGCGGCGCTCGAAGAGAACGCCGAGCTGGAGGAGCCCGCGGGCGCCATCGTCTCGGGCGGCAAGGTCCCCCGGGGCGACGCGGCTGGCTCGCTGACGGCCTCGGGCCGTGCGACGCTGCTGCTCCTCGGCCGGGCGGTGTCGAGGATGGGCGGCTGGCTGCTGACCCCCGCGGGCCCCCGCGAGACGTGGTTGGCCCGCGGCGGGGGCCCGGGCTTGGCGATCGGCAGCGAGGCTGACGCGACCGGCGCCGTCGGGGTCTCTTACGTGAACGGCCCGGAGCCCTTCGGAGTGATGGTGGTCGGGGAGGGCCACGTGGTGTTGCCTGCGAAGGTCGAGGCTGCCCAGGCGCCCGGCTGGGCGGCGGCAGAGGGGGCGCCGAGGCGGCGCCGCGAGGCGGACGGGGATCGTGGCCGAGGAGGGCCCCCCCGACGCGCGGCGGAGCTGCCCCCTCGGGGGCCGCCCGCGCTCGAGGACGAGGTCGGGGGCGCGGCCGCTCCTGAGGAGGTCAAGGGCGCCCGCCGCTCCCGACGACGAGGAGGTGGAACGCTGGGGCGCGCGGACCCTCTGGGTGGACTACGACGCCCAGGGGAGGAGGCACAAGCGCTGGCATGATGAGGCGCGAGAGTCGCGGCAGGAGCGCCGCGCCGACGCGCCCGTCGAGGGGCCGCCGGGTGCCCCGCGCATGTGCAAGCACATTGAGAAGAAAGGTGGCGACCCTCGGCTCTGGCTGCAGCTCCTCAGCCGAAGGAAAGGGCTCGGGGCCAACGACTGGGCGTCGCGCGAGCTCGAGGCGCTGGTGGAGGCGCTGTGCCAGGGGGGGTGCGCGACCAGCTCAACGTGGGAGGGCTGGTAATGGTGGAGGTCATCGCGCGGCGGCTGGCCGTGATGGTGGGCGCCTGCGCCGATCCCAACGGGCCGACTTGGGAGGGCGCCCGCATCTTCGAGGGCGTCGCCTCGATCGAGGATGTGTCGGGGCCTGGCCTGCGTGGCTACGCGCGGCATCGGGCCAAGGAGCAGTGCGAGGCGGGCCAGGCGCGGAACGGGGCCCCGACCCCGAGGGAGGCGCCCGAGGGGGTGACCGCGGACGCGGGAGACGCAAGTGGGGGCCAGGCCGAGGGCGGCGGGCGCGCGGGCGGCCGAGGCCGCCGCGGCGGCCGCGGCCGGGGCGTTGCCCCCGCGGGGTCATGACGGCCCTCGGGCACAGGGACAGCAGCCCCATCCCTGGGCACTTTTTGCGGGGGCAGCGAGGCGCCCGCCTTCCGCCCTCGCGAGGAGCTCGCAGCTTCCTGCGGCTCCCCGTGCGGGCCGAGGGGGCCCGCCGAATTCGCGGCAGAGGTCGGCGGGCGGACGGGGGCTCGTGTGTCCCAGGAGGTCGCGGAGCTGGTGGGCGCCATCAACTGGATGTCAGGCTATGAGGCGCAGGCGGGGCCCGCCAATGACGCGCGGCGGGGCGTGCTCGCGCGCTGCGAGGGCCTGGTGAGGGGCCGGCATCCGGGCGCCGAGCTGCAAGCGCCGCAGGCGGCTTTGCGAGAGCTGCAGCGGGGCTGCTCGCCATGCGATGGGCGAGGTGGCCTGGCGACGGTTGCCTCCCGCATGCAGTGCTGAGCTCGTCAGCATGCCGACGGACGCGTGGAACTGCCCAGAGGCCCTGTTGCCTGACGAGGCCATTCTTTACCTGCAGGAGCGTCAGGAGCGCATGCTCCGTGAGAACCCCTTGGGGGCCGACGTGGGGCCGCGCTTCGACACGGTCCTCAAGTTCAACCAGAAGGAGTACCGCTGCCTGGTGCGACAACTGCTCTCGGCAGGCATCCTGGGGTGGGCTCTATCACCGAAGGAAAGGATTGTAATGTTTTCTGCAAGGAAGGATTTGCAAGCGTCTCCGTTTGATAGTGGACGCCCGCAGGGCTAACGCCCACTTCCGCGACCCGCCAGGCGTCGAGCTGCTGAGCAGCGAAGGGCTGGCGCGAATCGAGCTGCCGTTGCCCGCCGAGGGAGTGGCCAGCCACGACGACCTCCGTGCAGCTCTGGAGGTGCGGCAGTTCTACATCGAGATGGCGGACGTCAAGGATTGCTTCCATCGCTTCCGCATCGATCCGGAGCTCTCGCGATGCTTTTGCCTGCCGCCCCTTAAGGCGGGTGCTTCCGGGGTCGCCGAGATGAACGGCGAGAAGGTCTCTGCGGGTCGGGCAGTTTACCCGTGCTGGTAGGTCCTGCCGATGGGCTTCAGTAGGTAATTCTACTTCGCTCAACAGGCCGGCGAGGAGGTCGCCCGCCGAGGGGCTCCGCTCCCCCGCCAGCCTGGACTCTCAGACCACGGCCCGCCGCTTGGATTGGCGCCGCTGGAGGCCAAGGATGAGGTGCGGCACTGCGTGTGCGTGGACATCCTTCTTGGGTGTTCTCGTTTTTTCGCCGGCTCGTCTCGGGTGTCATGGACCAGTTGGAGGGCATGTTCGCGGAAGTGCAGCTGCTGCCCCACAAGGACGAGCTGGCCGAGGGCTCGACGGTGGCCCTTGGAACGGAGATCGAAGGTGCCCAGCTGCGGACTCGGGTCACCTTCGCGCGGTCTGGCGCTGCCGCCAGGCCATCCGCGGTCTGTTGGCAAGGCGCAAGGTGAACGACTGGGCCGTCGAGGCGTTGCTGGGCCACCTCGCCTTCTGCGGGCTGTGTGCGAGGGAGGGGCGCCCTTTCGGCCTTCAACTCCGTCTATATCTTCGTGCAGGCGCACTACGACAGGCCCGCGGTGCTGGGGGGGGGCGCGCCGTGAAATGAAGTCCTTCGGCTCGCGGACTGGTGGCTCCCTTGGAACTCGATGGTGCAGCAGTCCGACGCCAGCCTCTGCGGCTGCGGGCTGGCTTGGGCGTTCTGGCCGCAGGACATGGTGGAGTTAGTCGGGCGCGTGCCTGAGCGGCCCCTCTTCCGCCGTCGCCGCGCCCGCAGTGCCCGCGAGGCGCCCCGTGTGCGCCGCAGGTTTTGCGATGAATGAGAATGGAAAATGGGGGCTCCGAGGGCTGCCTGATGACTCAGAGCAACTCGGGCAGTGGGCCGCGAGAGAGGACTTCCCTGCGGTCCCAGCCCGCGGGCTCCGCGCGGCCCCGTGGGAGCCCTGCTTCGCGAAGTCTTGGGGGCGCCCGGGAGGCGTGCTCACTTTGGAGGCCCGCGCATTGGTCGCCAGTATACGTCGTGCTGCAGCGACAGCCTTTGGGGGCAACGTGAGGCATGTCGGTGGTTTTCAGCTTTAATCGTGGGGGGAGCTCGTGTTTCGACCTATTGGTTCAGATCCGCCGATTTCACGCTATATGCCGGTGTCGCAATATTAGGTGCGTGGTTCGGTGGAATTTCCCAGTGAGCTGAACTGCGTTGGGCTAGTAGCTGGGTTGCTGGACTTGGAGATGTCTCGGGACTTAGGAGAACCAGCCGAGGCCTGTGCCTTTCAGACCCTGGCAGAGGATCGTGCGCACCCGATGGTCTCCCAGCCGCCGCCTTTGGCTCGAGAGGGCGGGGGCGTCCTCCGGGCGGGCAAGGGTGCCCGCCGAGCGGCGGAGATTCCTGGCCCCCGCCGAGGCGAGCCGCCCGCCCGCCAGGCAGCCGCGCCCAGGCGTGAAGGCGAGAGTGGCGGCCGCCGCTCCAGTGGCCAGCCTGGGTCGGCAGCGGCGATTGGGGCGATCGGACGCCCTCGGCCCTCCGAGGGCACCGGGGGGCTGGCGAGAGGGGTGGCTGGGGCCCGGCAGGCCGCTGCAGGAGGCGCTCCAGAGCCGCCCTGCAGCCTGGGCCATGGGCTCGTGGTGACAGATCTGGCCTCGGCGCCGGTGGGTGGCGCGCCCGGGCCGGAAGCGCGCGTGGGCGACGACTCCTCCGACAGCGGCATCTTCGGGCCCGCGGCCGAGACCGGCGCCGCGCGGCGGCGCAGGCTGGCGCAGTCACAGAAGCGACGGGCGCGCCACTGCCGCGGCTGGGGCGACTCGAAGGGCTTCTCGCTTCTGGAGCAGGAGGCCGTGCGGGGCGCCGCGCGGCGGGGGCGCCGGCGCGCCTGGGGCGGGTGGCGGGAGTTTGCTCGCAAGAGCAGCCCGTCATTCGACGTGGGGGCCCTCGTCCAGCAGAAGAGCGATGTCGAGGTGGACGAGGCCCTGGTGAGCAGCTGCCTGAACTCGCTCTACCAGCGTGGCGCGCGCCTCTCCTGGGCCGAGAAGCTGATGGCTGGGGTGCTGCACTTCAACCCTGGCTTCGCGCGCCATGGTGCCCGCCGCCTCCCCTGGGGCTGGAGATTCATCCGGGCTTGGCGGCGCCCGGGGCCGCCCCGCGCTCGCGAGCCTTGGGCGCTGGCCCTCTGGCTCTGGCGTGCCATGGCCTGGCGTATGCGGGGCGCGGCGGCCTCCGGATGGCGGTATTCACGCTGATGGCGGTGAGTGTCTACCCGCGGCCGAGCAGCCTCCCGACGCTCCGCCCATCGTGCCTTGTTCCGCCGGCGGCGGGGGCGCGTCAGTGCTGGACCTTGCGGCCGTTCCCAGAGGAGGAGGACCTACGTGACGAGACGGGCCTGGGGGGTGCGTCGCTGGAGCTGGACTCGCCCTGGATCCGCTGGCTGGGCCTGGTGCTCTGGGGGCTCGAGCGTCAGGGGGCCCAGAATGCCTCTGGAACTTCACTTATCCCGATTGCTGCAAGATGTTCAGCCTGGGCCTCCGAGACCTGAAGGTTCGCCCGAAGATAGCGCCCTGCCAGGCGCGGAGCTTGGGGGCCCCCATCGACGCGGCGAAAGTGGAGGCGGCTGGGCGAGGTCCAGGAGAGGTTACTGGCGCGCGACTCGCAGCGTCGCCAGGTACGCCAGGCAGCGCGACTCGCAAGCACACCAGGCTTGCCGCGATCTGGTCGGTGCTCGCAAAGGCCTAGCAGGACGTGTCCCTGGTCTGCGAGGCGCAGCTCGAGGACATCATTTTGGGGCCCGCCCCGCAGGTCGACTTGCAGGCGCTCAACCTCGCCTGAAAGGTGGGGTGGGGCGCGCGGCCGCGGGCGAGTGGGTGCCCGTGAGGTCCTGGGGCGCGCTGCGCGGCCCAGAGGGTGACCTCGCGCGGCGCAAGGTGCTCAGAGGCCTATGCTCGGACAGTGTTGCAGGGCGCGTGGTGGCAGTGATGCTGGCGCCTCCCTGCGGGGCCTGGGCGACTGCGGCTGGCCGAGTAGGGGCCATCCGCAGCGCCCAGCAGCCGTGGGGGCTGCCTCGGGATGACCTGAATCAGAAACAAGTTGTTCGCTTGGCCTTCGATGCGAGCGGCCTTGGCCATTCTGCGGTGCTGTGAAAAAACTGTCAGTGCCGTGTGTCCTCGAGCATCCCGTCAACTCGCATGTCTTTTCGACAAGAGGTTCGGGGGGCTGTTCAACGGGGTTTGTAATTCGGTGCCTCGATCAATGTCAAGTGGGGGCCAGGTGGCGCAAGAGGACCCGCTTTTTGTGTTGTCTCGACAATGATGAAGAACCAAAAGATAGGGTCTAGCACGCCAGGCACCCCTGTGATGAATCAACAGGGGGCGGCGGATCCAGTGGCTTTCGGCCTATCCCGCCACAGTGCCTGGGCTGTGGGTCTGAGGTCTCTTGCGCACGTGTTGAGGTGCCGTGGGGAGCCTCTCGAGGGCCTCTTGCAGGCGGTTTGGGCGCCTCTTGGGGGCCTCTTGGGGTCTCATAGGGTATCTTTTGAGCCTCTTGGAGGCGCCTCTTGGGGCCTCTTGGGGCCTCTTGGCGGCCTCTTGGGGCCTCCTGGGGGCTTCTCGGAGCACAAATCTAGACATGTCGGTTCGTGTTCCCCTGCTTGGGCCCTTCTTCGTGCCGTTTTGGGGCCCTCTTCGGCCGTCATGAGCGCTTTTTGGGCAGTCTTGGAGCCCTCTTGGGCCGTCTTGGGGCCCTCTTGGAGGCCTCTTCGGATGTCTTGGGGCGTTATTGGGAGCTTCTTGAGCCGTCTTGGAGCGTCGGAGCACCGAACATGTGAGAAGGCCAAAATCCTTCAACAACTTGGGTCAAATCTACGATTTGGCCTCTTGGGGCTCCTTCGGGGGGCCTCTTGGAGCGCTCTTGGGGTCTCTCGGGCCGTTTTGGAACCATCTTCGGGCGCCTTGGAGCATTCTGGGCCTCGGCAGTGCGAGTGCGGTGTAATTTGCGAGGGCTTCTGGCCTCGGGATGCGAATCTGGCATACTTTACGAGGCGTTGTTGCTTCGGGGGCGCAAGATTTTTTGTAACTTGCGAAGGTTACTGGCCTGAGGGATGCGAATCTGATCTAATGTGCAAAAGGGTTATGGCCTCGGGGGCGTGAATATCATGTATTTTTACGTGTCTCGCGTCCCCCCCCAGGCATTCAGAGCATGCGATCCGAGTGCGGTGAATTTCCGGTTTGGGCCCCCCCCTCGCGCGGATTTCAACAATCTGCAGTCGGAAGCAGACAGCAGGATTGTAACATGGGAGATTTGAAATTGCAATTGGTGCAGGCAGCAGCAACCTAGGCCTACAGCTCGGTGGCCCCACAAGGGGGCCGGCGGATCCTTCCTCATCCCCCATCCTTCCTCCATCCTCCCCCCCCCTCCCTCCTCCCTTCTCCTCCTATCCCCCCTCTCCCCCCTCAGCCCTCGCCGCCGCTTCCCCTGTCTCCTCGCCGCCCAGGGGTGCTGCCTGCCGCGTCCGGCAATAGAGCTCTGGGAGGGGGCGTTCCGAAGCGACCGCGTCCCCCAGAGCTTGCGTGCCCTAGTGTTCGGAGGGCGCGCGCTGCACACCGCTTCACCGGTCGTGGCCAGGTCGCCTTGAGCTGGGAGGGCCCCTGCCAGCACCGATCTCTCGTGCCCAGGAGGGGCCTGGCCACAGTCCGTGCGGCGGTGTGCCGCCAGCGCCCTCCCGACTGCTGCGCCGAGGGGAGGGTCGAGGCCTCGGCCTGAGGCCTCGGCCTGGGCCTCGAGGGAGGTCGTCCCGCCAGCGCTTCGGCCGCGCAACCTGGGGACCAGCCTGCTGAAAATACCCGGGCGCTCGGGCGCGGAGAAACAACTAGAAGGATGATGATGATGATGATGATGATGATGATGATGATGATGATGATGATGATGATGATGATGATGATGATGATGATGATGATGATGATGATGCTGCTGCTGCCGCTGCTGCTGCTGCTGATGATGATGATGATGATGATGAGGATGAGGAGGAGGAGGAGGAGAGGAGAGAGGAGGAGGAGGAGGAGGAAAAGGAAAAGGAAAAGGAGGAGGCGGAGGCGAAGGCGGAGGCGGATGCGGAGGCGGAGGACGAGGCGGAGGCGGAGGCGGAGGAGGAGGCGGTGGCGGGGGAGGAGGAGGAGGAGGACGAGGAGGAGGAAAAGGAGGAGGAGGAGGCGGAGTAGGAGGAGGAGAGGATAATAATAATTCTAATACTGTTAATAACAATAATAATATTAATAATAATAATAATAATAATAATAATAATAATAATAATAATAATAATAATAATAATAATAATAATAATAATAATAATAATAGTAATAATAATAATACGAATAATAATAATAATAATAATACTAATACTAATACTGATAATAATAATAATAACAATAACAATAATAATAGTAATACTAATAATACGGTTAATACAAATAATTATAATAACAATAATACTGGACATGGTAACAATAAAAAGAAAAAGACGAATTAACCTGGTGACAGACCCAACCATACTCAGTTGTGGATACGCAATTGTGAATACCATCGTCGCCCACGCTCCCTATGTGGCCACGGCTTCCCGCGGGAACCCGACATGCTCAGGGGCGCGTTCGCGGCCGTCTTCGCGGGCGCCGGCGACGACGAGGACGGCGCCCCTCTGACCGAGGAGCAGAAGCAGCAGAGGGCTCTGAAAGCCATGCGGGAAGCTGCCACTGGCGCCTCTCATGGCGCGTCCCACTAGGGCCTTCGGTGGAGCTCCCTATGGGGCCACGAAACGTGTGAGGGGTGTGCCAAAATGGGTATGGGTACCGAGTGCGAGTTCCGCCGCTGGGACCTTCGGTGGAGCTCCCCATGGGGCCACGAAGTGTGTGAGGGGTGTGCCAAAATGGGTGTGGGTACCGCGTGCGAGTTCCGCCGCTGGGACCTTAGGTGGAGCTTCCCATGGGGCTAAGAAGCGTGTGAGGTGTTTGCCAAAATGGGCGCGGGTACCGCGTGCGAGTTCCGCCGCTGGGACCTTAGGTGGAGCTCCTTATTGGGCCGCGAAACGTGTGAGGGGTGTGCCAAAATGGGTGTGGGTACCGCGTGCGAGTTCCGCCGCTGGGACCTCAGGTGGAGCTCCCGACGGGGCTGCGAAGCGTGTGAGGTGTGTGTGTGTGTGTGTGTGTGTGTGTGTGTGTGTGTGTGTGTGTGTGTGTGTGTGTGTGCGTGTGTGTGTGTGCGTGTGTGTGTGTGTGTGTGTGTGCGTGTGTGCGTGTGTGTGTGTGTGTGTGTGTGTGTGTGTGTGTGTGTGTGTGTGTGTGTGTGTGTGCGTGCCAAAATGGGCGTGGGCACCGCGTGCGAGTTCCGCCGCTGAGCCCTTAGGTGAAGCTCCCAATGGGGCCACGAAACGTGTGAAGGGTGTGCCAAAATGGGTGCGGCTATCGCGTGCGGGTTCCGCCGCTGGGACCTTGGGTGGAGCTCCCTATGGGGCCGCGAAGCGTGCGCGGGGTGTGCCGAAATCGCCCGAGGCCGCCATGCGAGTTCCGCCACTGGGACCGTAGGTGGAGTTCCCTATGGGGCCACGATGCGTGTGAGAAGTGTGCCGACAGAGAGACATGCGGAGGGCAGAGGCAAGGATGGGGGAGGAGGGGGGAGGAGGAGGAGGAACGCGGGGGCCATTTCTTCAAAACGAGGTCCAACACCACAGGATGGTTGGGAATACGAATTATATGAGTAGTAATACTAGTACGTATACGAAAAATATGAAGACGACGAATACTATTGCTATTACTAGTAATACGAATTGTAATGACAATAAGAGAGTAACTATGCGACTAAGGAGACTAAGAATACGAATGCAAGTAATACTAGTAAGACGCATAGTTGTAACAATGGTGCCGATACTAGTAAGAATAACATTAACACTGTTATTATTATTACAATCATTCATAATACTAATAGCAGTAACACTGCTATTCATAATAGTATTAACAACAGTACCACCAATAGCATTGACAATGCTAATGCTACCGGTATTGATCATAATGATGATGATCATGCTGATGATGGTGATTATGATGATAATGATAACCACAATAATCCTACTACTACTCGTAACGATACGATTTAGACTACGAATAATCAGAATAATAAGAAGAGGAGGAAAAAGGATGATGAGGAGGAGGCTGAGGAGGAGGAGGAGGAGGAGGAGGAGGGGGAGGAGGAGGAGGAGGAGGAGGATACATAATAATACATAGACTATTATGAACAATAGTAACAATCAGAAGAGTAGTAATAATAAGAAGAATAAGATTTATAAAACGAGTAGTAGTAATACTATTAAGAATAGCACAAAGAAAAATATGATTATGATGATAATGATGATGATGATGATGAGGAGGAGAAGGAAGAGGAAGAGGAGGAGGAGGAGGAGGAGGAGGAGGAGGTTGAGGAGGAGGAGGAGGAGGAGGAGGAGGAGGAGGAGGAGGAGAAGCAGGAAGCGGTGGAGGCGGAGGAGGAGGCGGTGGCGGCGGCGGCGGCGGAGGAGGAGGAGGAGGAGGAGGAGGAGGAGGAGGAGGAAAAGGAAGATAAGGAGGGGGAGGAGGAGGACCCAGGAACGTGCGGGTTCGCTGTCGTGGGCCCATCGCCCTGCTGCCTTGCCCTCTTTGCGCGGCCATGCCTTATCCTCCCTGCGCGGCCATGCCTTCTCCTCCCCCTGCACGGCCCTGCCTTATCCTCTCTTGCCCACCCCCCCTCGCCTTTCCGGCCCTCTGCCCTCCTTCCTTTCCCTGGGCCTCCCCCTGCGCGGCCCTGCCTTATCCTCCCTTGCCCCGCCCTCGCCTTTCCTGCCCTCTGCCCTCCTTCCTCTCCCTGCGCGGCCCGCCGTTGCCATGGGCGAGGTGGGCTGACAGTGGCCGCCCTTCGGCTGCTGCTGGCGGCAAGGGGCTGCGGTGAGAGCGCGGCCCGCTGTCGGAGCGACGCGGAGAGGGTTGCTACCGCCCTTGCGGTGGACGGCGTTCACGAGAAGCGAGCGGTTTCAGGCATGGACGAAGTGTTTCTTCCAACATTGTCGACAACACTCTTGAATTCGGTTATGGGAAGGCTCTTGCCCAAATGCGCCAGTGTATTGTCCAGCAACCGTCCGAACCTCTTCAACATGTTAATTAATTACGATAGATTTGCTTGCCACTCTTCGGGTTGCATTTTCCCATCTTTGGCGACGCACAGCGCGTGGTTGTACTGAAGATACTTTATCATGATTGCGATCGTTCTTTGAACGTCTCGGATGTGCACTGGGCCTCGGTGATGCAGATAACCGCCAATGATACTACTGCGCGCGCACTACAGTCAGGTGAATCTGTTGTAAGTGAACATGTTGATGGACTGCAAGAGGGTTCGTGGCTGGGGCGCGTACCGCTTTTTAGCTGCCCTTTCAGACGACAGTCCATCCTTCGTGTCAGCATAACCCGCCGCAGCAGCTTCCCCTCGTCAAATTTGGGTGCCAGAGCCCGCGCCGTGGGCTGCTGGAACAATTTGCCCTCGTAACACATGTACTGGAATCCACCCGTCTTGCCGGCATGCGCTGCTGGAACCATTTTCCCCAGTAGCATTGAGGCGCTGGAGGCTCACCCCAGTTTGCTCTTTAGACATAAGCAGTGCGGGGGGAGGAGGATCCTTACAGGATGGGACGGGGCCCAGGGGTGGAGGTCCTAGCATTGTAGTCATGCCTCGCTCTTACAGGAGGGCAGTGCGTGCGCGTGTGCGTGTTGCGTGAGCGTGTTGCGTGAGCGTGCGCGTGTGCTTGAGCGTATGCGTGCGCGCATGCGTGAGCGTTCGTGCGTGCGTGCTCGTGCGCAGGTGTGCGCGCGTGTGCGTGTGCGTGCGCGCGTGCGCGCGCGCGCGTGCGCGTGCGCGTGCGGAGGCTCAGGCGCGGGCTCGATCCCGAACCCGAGCCCGTGCGCGAGCTCGAGACGGATCCATCGGCCGAGTCCCGTCCTGAGCGCGTGCGCGTGCGCGTGCGCGTGCGCGTGCGCGTGCGCGTGCGCGTGCGTGTTCGCGCGAGTGTGCCGATATTCCAACATGCGATCAAACAAACCACTACCAGCAATGCTCACGTGGCGGGTCAGTCAAGCACATCTTTTGCGAGCGATTTTTTGACGGGCTGTAGGGAGGCTCGTGCCTGGGGCGCGGGTCGCCCCGGCTGCACTTCCACACGGAAGCGCACCCTTCTTGTCGGCACATTCTGCTGGGCCCCTGGCGGCCGCTCGGGACGATCTGGAGTCCCCGAAAACGCCCTCGGCGACGCGCGGGTGCTGGCACGCAGCCCGAGGGGGGAGAGCCCACGCCTTGGCATCGCTCGGACGCGTGCCAGCTCTTCCTCGGCGAGGGCCACGGAGGCGCCTCCTGGGCCATCCTGCGAACACGGGAGCGCGCGGAGGCGGAGCGCGCACGGGGGCTCGACGCCCGCGCGAGGGCAGGACGCGCACCGACGGGAACGCCCGAAGACTCCCGACGCGAACAGACGACGACGACGACGCCGACGCCGACGCCGACGCCGACGCCGACGCCGACGCCGACGTCTACGACGACGACGACGACGACGACGACGACGACGACGACGACGACGACGACGACGACGACGACGACGACGACGACGACGACGAACTCTCCGGCCCGCTCCCCGCCGCCGGCAGCCGGCTGCGGCCGCGGGCCCGCGCGGGCGGCCGCCGGATCCACGCGCGGGAGCCCCATGGCGCCGCCACGGCCGAGGCGGGTCTCCGTCGCCCGTTGTCCGTCGTCCGTCGTCGTCGTCGGTCGTCGT